GCCCGACCACCGTCTCCCAAAGCAGTTGCTCTACTCCGAACTCAAGAACGGAAAATGAAATGTTGGTGGACAGGAAAAGAGATTTAAAGATGGGCTCAAAGCCAACCTTAAAAACTCCGGCATAGACACTGAGAACTGGGAAGCCCTGGCCCTTGACTGCTCCAGCTGGAGGTCAGCTGTGACCAGCAGTGCTGCAGAATTTGAAGAGGCACGAATAAAGGGCGAAAGGGAGAAGCGCACCAAGAGGAAGGCACATCAAGCCAACCCCGACTGAGACAGCCTTCCAGCTGGAAACCAAAGCCCTCACTGCAGAAGAAGATGCAGAGCAAGAATAGGGCTCCACAGCCACATACGGACCCACAAGAATACTAGAAGACAATTCTCCTCGGAAAACGAGGGATCACCTAAGTGGTAAGTGCTGATTATGTAACTACAGTGGATTTAGGGAGGCAGTTCCCTCTCCTGAGACCTTCTGTGGACCAAAAATGCCTCCAAAATGAAGGTGACCAGAATTTCACTAATCTTGGAATGCAGGCATTTTTTGTTGTCAAGTAGTGCAAGAAAGCCCTGAAATTAGTATGAAAGCTGAATTTGCTATTCCTTGCAGCTTCTAGGAAAGACAGTCTACTCTTTGGAGGGCCAAAGAAAAGGCAGTTGGAGGCAAGAAGATGGTCAAAAGCCACAAACACAGGGCCTCATTTTACTCATTCCTGATGTAATTAATCCCCATGACGTGTTGAAAAGAAGTTGAAGCCTAATGCAATAATGATAACTGCATCTTATTCTTGTCGGTCTTCATGCAATTCAACTCCTGCTCCCACTCCTTTCTATATAAGAAGTTCTGGAAGAAAAATCAGGGGCAGAGTAACTGAGGAGGGTCACAGCTAAGGGAGCAGTTTCCTTGTCATTCCCCCCCCCTCAAATGTCTTTAGATGATATGCTACTATATCTGTTCAGCCTCTGAGATTTGTAGCAATAAACATATTACCTTCTATTTCAATATGGTTCTGTGCATCCTAAAAAAGAAAATATCTCAAGCATGCCAAGAGCAATTTATAAACCTTTAGAAGAGTCAGTGCAACATACCAGAGCTGGTTAGTGAATAAATGCCAAATCAATTTATCCTGCATATTTTGGTGACTTAAGGAATAGGCAGGAGTCCGCAAAGGGTCCTTGAGGATTTTAATACAATAAATGCCATAATGAGATTACTTTCTTTTAATGCATTTCATTGGCTTTACACCACGTTTTGAATATAGACCATTGATTTATTTTAGTTTGCTTTACAAAATATCTAGGTGTAGATAACCATCCCAAAAATAACAGACTCTAAAACTCTTCGCAAAACAGCAAACTATTGTAGTTCTTCTTTCTTTTTTTTAGTACAGTAAAATCTCACTTATCCAACATTTGCTCATCCAACGCTCTAAATGCACAGATTCAACTATGTGTAATCCTCCCCCATTGTGCACTGAAAAACACTGAGTTCCATCCATAACTCTTGTCCTATTTTGACTCTCTTCCATTGCACTTTGGCCCCTGACATTCTGTGTTTGAATGCCAGAAACATTGTGACCTCAGCAAGGTAAAATTGGCCCTTCATATTTGCAGGTTTAACCTTCAAATATTTGATTAATATGTTCTCCTGGACATCTGTAAGACCTCCAGAATTACTACAGAAGATGATCATGCTAGAAGACCTAGATGGTCCTAGAGAAAACAATTGTTAGGCATCTCCAGGGCAATCTTACACTCAGATCTGAAGACCTAGAGATTCCCAGAGAGGTATTCTCTCAGGTAAAAAAGAGCAATATTAACATTCAGAATTCCCCCCAAATGTGGGGGTCCTGCACCTGTAAAAATGAAGGGCCTGCTCCACATACTTAACTCAGATGAAGGCCCGCTGATGTCATAAGAGCTTTTTTCAGTGATACCACACACTCACAAACATAGACACAAAGAGGGGATTGGACTGTGTTCCTATTTTTTCATTCAGAACTGACCTCATGCTTATAGTGAGAAACTGTAATAAAGGAAGTTTGTTAAGGATGGGACATTTCACATTTCCTTGCCTTGGTAAGCATTCCTGCTGTTCTTGCTCATCTATTTTGGATGCCCAAGCTTATATAAACAGATTCTATAAACAATACAGATGCAACGAAATCTAGTGCTTATGAACTGAAACTACAAGGAGTTTTTGAAATTCAGGAATCATTTATACAAGTGGATCACGTACATTGTGTTTACATATATACAATGGAGACGAAGACAGTAAAGACTGGATTATCTAATATTAATAGTTATTACAAAATATGGTTTAATTACCATAAATAATATTTATAGTTAACAATTATCCAATAGCGCTCTGCTTTGGTGGACTAGATGCCAGAATTGCTTTAATGAGTGCCATGCTTTGCAGATATCAATAAAAACTGCATAAAGCAGTAAGAATTTTATTTTGAGTAAACATGCACAAAAGAACTGTAAGATACTATCTAATCCTACAATCAGGGGGAAGTGTTTTTAGGGCATAAAATTATAACTAAGGGACCAAGAAAATTCATAGAATAACTCACAGAGAAATGTTTAAAGCCGTCAGTTGTAATGCTAATCTGGAACATACAATGTACATACAAATACAGCCCTCTAGTGTTTGAAAGATTTTGTTACAATAGGTGATTTTCTGAAACCATGGGTTCCTTCTAAAATCTTGCACAATTAGCCCCATTCTCTGTTTGCGGACTTGTAATTTGCCTCAAATTATGTATATGTGCATGTGTCTGAGAGAATGCGAGAGCAAGAGGAGAAAATAATTGAGGATTCAAAGCATGTAAAGCACATGCAATTACGACACAAGATTTATACACAAATGAAGTTTCAGTATGACCCTAAACATGAAATATAAGTTCTTTTTTATATTAAGGTGCTTGGCAATCGTTCCTTAATCTACTTCTTTTAATCTTTTAGATAATTGTTCTTATTTTAACCATTCTTTGGAATGCACTCAATTGCTTAATGGCTTTCATTCTCCAAGTATCTGAGTAATGTTGCACATGCACTCACAACGTTGTGATCCATATGCCAATTCCTTCTCAGTTATATAACTACTGCAGATTAAAATTAAAATGCCTGTTGTTTCTCAAGCCAATCTGTGAACAGTGTGTGTGTGTGTCTGTGTGTGTGTGCGCGCACGCGTGTGTGTTGGCTTTTCTAAGGGCCCTTCCACACAGCCCCATATCCCAGAATATCAAGACAGAAAATCCCACATTAACTGAGTGTGGACTCATGTAACCTAGTTCAAAGCAGATATTGTGGGATTTTCTGCCTTGATATTCTGGGATATGGGGCTGTGTGGAAGGACCCTGAGTTCACACTGTCATATATTCCAGTTCAAAGCAGATAATGTGGGATTTTATTCAGCTGTGTAGAAAGGGCCTTAGGCCCCTTCAACACTGCCATATAATCCAAATTACAAATGAAGATAGCCCAGATTATCTGGTTTGTACTACACTTGATCTTAACCAAAAGGCCGAGAAGCGATGAAGATTATCTGGTTTGTATTGGATTATATGTGTCTACACTGCCATATAAACCAGTTCATTGTGAATAATCTGGATTTGATATGGCAACAAAGGGCCTTACCACACAGCCATATAACTCAGAATATTAAGGGAGATAATTCACAATATCTGCTTTCAACTGGGGCCCCTTTCACACAGCTATATATAATCCACATTGAACTGGATCATATGGTACTGCGGACTCAGACATCCCAGTTCAAAGCTGATATTGTGGATTATCTGCCTTGATATTCTGGGTTATATGCTTGTGTGGAAAGACCCTTGGTTATTTGAGTCCACACTGCCATATAATACAGTTAAAAGCAGATGTGGGATTTTATACAGCTGTGTGGAAGGGGCCATTGTGGGTTATTCTGTCTTGGTAATTTGGGTTATATGGCTGTGTGGAAGGATCTGAACTCAGGTTTATTGCTTTAAACTGGATTATAAGAGCCCACACTGCTAGATAATCTGGGATAAACAGAAAACCTGGGATCAGATCCTGGGATATAGGGCCTGTCTGGAAGGGCCCTGAGGCTCCTTCCACACAGTTGAATAAGATCCCACATTATCTGCTTTAAACTGGAATGTATGTCAGTGTGGACTCAAATAACCCAGTCCAAAACATATATTGTGAGATTTTCTGACCTGATATTCTGATTTATATGGGTGTGTGGAAGGGCCTTGAGTTCCCACTGCCATATAACCCAGTTCAAAGCAGATAATGTGGGATTTTATAATCTAGCTGTTTGGAAGGGGCTGTAGAAGGGGCCTTAATGTGGGCGAAACATGTTTTTATCTTGATGAATGGCTTTTATGTATTTTATCCTATATGTATTTGTTAATTCACTGTTGATGTATGTTTTAGATTTTTATGTTAGCATTGAATTTTTGCTGTCGGCCGGTCGGAGTCCCTCTACGGAGGTAGAGAAGATCGAGATATAAATGTTTTAAATAAATAAATATCTAATTCCAAAGTCCAAAAATAATCCCAAATTATGGCTGAGATAGTGTCACCTGTGCTTTGTGATGGTTCAATGTGTGTAGACTTTGTTTCATGCACAAAATTATTCAAAATCATGTGGGCAACATTTCTTTCAGGCTATGTGCATAAGTTGTATATGGAACATCAATGAATGCCATGTTTAGACATGGGCCCCATCTCCCAAAACATCACATAATGTATTATATGCAAAATAGATTAAAACGACAACATATCATCTCGGAGAAGGGATGCCCAATCTGTAATCTTTGGGGGGGGGGGGGTTAAGGGAGTACACTGCACACATTGTCCTCTCTCCCCCCTTAACTTTGCCACAACCTCTCACTGCCACTGAGTGTCAACAGAAGTCCCCCACTACTTCCTGTTCCTTTCCTTACTTGGCAAAGGAAAGCCAAACCTGCCTTAGTCGCGCATGCGCAGGAGAGGCGAGGCGAAGCGAGGCTCCGCCTTTCAGACGCTTTGGGCCCTTTCGGCTTTCCGTATCCGGCTGCGACGTCAAGGCTCGCAGATGCTGTGATTCCTTGTCAGTCGAACATGGCGGCTCAGAAGATCAACGAAGGCTTGGAGCACATCGCGAAGGCCGAGAAATAGTAAGCGGGGAGAGGGCGGGGAGGCGCTTTGCCACTCCCTCAGGAGGCTTCGGCTCTCGGGGAAGGGCGAGAGCGGCCGGAGGTCCTTCCCAATCCTTTGAGTGGCCCTTCTAGGCCGCGAAGGCCCTTCTCTGGGCATCTGTTGAGAATCCTGAGCAGTTTCACCTTAGTTAGGGGCATGACAAGAGGAGAGGGCAAGGCCTTGCCCTTCCCATTCTGCTCAGGCATCAGCAAACTTTCAGAGTTTGTACTTGAATCAGAAATCAAATCTTATTGGTGGATTTCTGGGATGAAGGCAACCAGCTTTTGTTTTAAATTGTTTAGTCTGGGCTGTTGTAGGCCTTTCAGGCTATATGGCCATGTTCCAGAAGCATTCTCCCCTGATGTTTCGCCTGCATCTATGGCAAGCATCCTCAGAAGCAGTGACTTCACAACCTCTGAGGATGTTTGCCATAGATGTAGGTGAAACGTCAGGAGAGAATGCTTCTGGAACATGGCCATATAGCCTGAAAGGCCTACAACAATCTAGTGATTCCAGCCATGAATCCTTCGACAATATATTGTTTGGTCTGTTGTTTTATTGTCAACTAGTGTAGGTGCCTTTCCGGAGTAGGATAACCCCCAGCTCTAAGTCCCAAAAGCACTTTATTAGAGTTTAAGACTCTCTGCACATTGCACTTGCTCAGAAATCCAACATACCACCAGCCACACCCAGCACTTTTTTAACCTTTACCCATCACTGGCCCGGCCCTGGTTTTATTGTGTAATGGTGTAATGTTTATTATTGCTTATGTTTTTAATTTTTAATTTGCTTTGAATTGTATTGTTATTGTTTTGTTGTTGTTGTTGTTGTGTTGAGGCCTTGGCATTTGTAAGCCGCATCGAATCCCTTGGGAGAAGCTAGTGGGGTACAAATACAGTTTAATAATAATAATAATAATAAGGATTCTGTAATGCTAAACATTAGCAGTTGTCATTGTTTGGTTTTGGATTTTATGAATGGTCTCATTAGAAAATGTATTAGGATGTGGGTAAACTACAACTCCCAACATTCTGGGTCAAGTCCTCCCCAAGCCCCACCAGGATTTAAAGTTGGTTATAATGGGTATCTAGAATCTATCCCCTCAAACTCCTCAAGTATTTTCTGTTGCTCATGGTTGATAAGTCTGCCAAGTTTGGTCCAGATCCATCATTGGTGGGGTTTGTAGTGCTTTTCACATATGAGTGAACTATAATGCCGGTCATCCTCTGTCATTGCGCCCTCAAACCCTTCCAGTACTCAAAATTGGTCATAGTGTGTATGTGTGCCACATTTGGTTCAGATCCATCACTAGTGGGGTTCTCTGTGCTCTCTGGGTGTGGTGGCGTCCACAGTGCTTGCTCTCTAGATGTGGCAGTCACCTACATACAAACATACATATTACAAACATATATTTATTATTATTATTATTATTATTATTATTATTATTATTATTATATAGATTGTTGTTTGGCATATTTTGTATTTCAGTTTGAAAACTGGCTTGCTAAAATGGAAACCAGACTACGATAGCGCAGCAACTGAATATTCAAAGGCAGGTATGTTCTCTAAAATATCAGGATCTTGTTTTTTGTTTAGCCTGAATTGTTAAAAAATGCAAACAAATTGTGTATTGGCAGTTTTTGCACCAACTTCCTCTGGCTTTTGCTGCTTTATTCTAGTGACACATTGTTGAAATATTTCTATCCCATCATATATATAGTAAGTCGGTATAGAAGTCAAATAATGACAGTCAAGCTAAAGCAATGAAAAAAAATTAAACGGGGGAAGGGATATTATAAGTTTAAAACATTAAAACAATTTGCAACCATGTGCACATAAATATTTTGAAGTAAGTTTGTTAGGCCCAAAGGCTTCGGACATGTTTTTACTCTGCACCTAAGTGAAATAAGATTGGTTCAGTTTGTCTTCCACAGTTGGGGGAACCACAGCAGAGAAGGCCCCCTCCCATTTCCTCCCACAATGTATTGACGCCATTGCTAACATTGCAATTAACATGGAGACTCTTAGGCCCCATCTATATTTAATCCGGATTATCTGCTTTGAACTAGATTATATGGCAGTGAATTAATGAATGAAACTTTATTTATAGCCCGCCCTATCTCCCCAAGAGATTTAGGGCGGTTTTCAACAAAATACACAGTGGCAAACATTCAGTGTCAACAATAATATATAAACAAATCAAAAACAACTCAACAAATCATAAGACAACCTAAATAAACCAAATGTAACACAATACACATAATTACAAACATATCAAGTCCTTAAAATCTCATTGAAACATCTCTAAAATTAGACTAACAATTGTTGGAGGGGGATGGTAAATCACAGATTAACAAGGCACTGTGCAATGAGGTAGTGATAGGAACCCTTAGTATGCCAATCAAATTCGATATGGTTGTTGAGACAGTTTTAACTAGTGGATTTTAATGTCAAGATAAGTGATTTTAATCCTTTTTTATGTGTATGGCCTAATATGTTTCGGCATTGAATGTTTGCTGTTTATATGTTGTGCTCCGTCCTGAGTCCCCTTCGGGGTGAGAAGGGCGGAATATAAATGCTTTAAATAAATAATAAACAATATTAGCAGCTAGGTGAGGGTGCATATGGATGTACTTAATCCTCCTTATATGATTGTAGACTCATATAATCCAGTTCATATAATCCAATTCAAAGCAGATAGTGTGGATTATCCGCTTGGATAATCTGGATTATATGGCAGTGTAGAAGGGGCCTTAGCTTCCAGAATGCTTCTTTCTCATTTTTAAACTAAATGTTGAAAGAGGATCATGGCATGTGGGAGGTTTTCAGTTTGAAAATATTATGTTTCTTAAGTTCCGAGTAGGTAAGGAGTTTACCAAATTCTGAAACAGAAGGCACAAAACACTAAGTGGCTAGCAGGCTTGGGTGAGTTTTAGTCTTCTTAGACAGGGGATGGGCTCCTAATGTTATTAGACTGCAGCAGCCAGTATTCCTTCCCCTGAGTTTTACTAGCTAGGGCTGCAGAGAGTTGCAACCCAGTAACATATGAAAGTCACACTTCACCTTATCCTACAGTAGATCAAAGTGCAATGATTCTAGTTTAAGCCTATGCCTGTTTTCTTGAAAGTGAGTTTCAGGGCTCATCTACACTGCCCACTTAATGCAGTTTAAAGGCAGCTTGACAATGCAGTGTTTAGGCAATACATGCCACGAATGTGTGAAGCAATACACATTAAGGGCTTTAAGTGGGGAGGAGCAAAGTTGGTGAACACTCTGAAAATGAGCCCTTAATGTGCATTAATGTAAACCACATTGGGCTGATTAAGGGACAGGGCACTGCTGTGATCCACACATGCGGGAAGATAAAAAAAAACTTGAGTCCTTCATACCTGCAAAGCTGCAGATCCTGGAAACGGATTGAAGCCAATCTCCGTGGTGTGTATAAGCACCATCCAAGCCTAAAAACCAGTTCCAGAACTAATCATTTGCAGAATGAAATTGTTTCTTCCTCTTTTAGTTTCACACCAGCAGAAGTGACTAGTGTAGGTGTACCCCTAGTGTATTCTGTATGCCAGAAACTATTAAGATTTTGACTAAAATTTGGCTGTTTCTAAGACTTAAATCACTTGTCATCATTTATCAACCTACAAGTATATGGCATTATTTCATTTATGAATGGGATAATAATAATAAGCCTGAGGGTGTCTGAGAGGAAACCCATTTGTACATGGTTCATATCTCCAGACATCTATATAGCTATTTGCATGACTCTTCCTTTCTTTCTTCGAAGCATTGTTGTGAGAATTAAAGATGGGACTAAACCTGTATTAGTTGCCCTGAAAGTGTTTTGTGTTAAAGATCATAGATAGATATATAGATATTCCTTGTGAGTAATGTTTCTGAAATAGATTTGGAATGTTCATGGTGTGTACAGTTCAGAAAATAATACATTTTCTTATTGCTTCCTCTTTTGTTTCTTTGCAGCTGTTGCTTTTAAAAATGCCAAACAGTTCGATCAAGCAAAAGAAGCATATTATAAAGAAGCTGTCTCCCATGAACAGAATAAAGCGTATCTTTTTATTTACTGTTGCCTCTCACTCTTCAGCATGAAAAAATAATGGATGATAGATTGATGCTATTTTTTGTTGATTCAATCCAATAGATACTCTGCTGGTTCATTTCAGGTTCATTTCTATGTTTGGATAAAATTGATTTTAGCACCTGTTATCATGACTTTAATAAAATCAAACATATAACTAATTGTCATAGCTCTGGGGTGTTCTGCAGAACAGGATGGTATAGAGGGGAGCCTAAGATCTTGGAGGCTATGTTGGTGATGGTAAGGAGTTCAGGACTGGCATGTCTGCAGGCTAATTAAATATATTTAAAAGTTCCTCATCTGAAAGTTGGTCACCAGCTGACTAGTTGATTAGGTATCTTTTAACATGTTTTTGTGAAACAGTTGTGATACGATCAGTAGAGGGACTTCCTATATTGAAGAAATTCCAGATCTTCAACATATTTGTCACATAGCATGACCGTTATTACAACAGCTTCTTGAAATATGAATTTTATGTCCAGCGAGACTTTGGGACTTTCTAAAGTTTGTGTGTCACAAAGGAAAATGGAAAAAGGAAAATTTACTTTTACTGCCTTTATGACACTAGTAAAACAGAATTCCATTCTGACTGTGGAATCTGACTGAATACCCCATGGAGAGGGAAAAAATTGACTGTCAGTATGTCTTATAACATGTTGTCCCGTTTGTAGTTTTGATCCATGAACTCAATTAAAAATATGATTTATCTTTATGATTTTTTTGGTCTATGTATAAACCAATGCAATAGGTTTTGATCTGAACTGTTTGAAAATATCAAAATTGGACCTAGGAAGACATATTATAATTTGTGTCCTTGACTCAACACAATTTGCATCCAGGCTTTTCCATGCTGCAAAGTAAGTCTGAATACTATTTTAATTCATCTGTTTCGAAGGAATCTATATGAAATGAAACTGTTCTTGACCCAGATGAAATACTCCTCTCCCTGTACAGAGAAATATCAACCAGACTTCACCACAGAGTTGGAAATAAAATAAGTGTTTTCCTACTTGATAATAACAGATTTCTGAAGAGATATTAGTGCCTTGAAAGTTTTCCATACTTTTTATGTTTGTATTTTGCAACATCATTTACCCAATACAAAAATATTTACTTTACAAACATGTCTTGCTTAATATTGTTGTTTACACAATTTTTCTCTGATTAGGGAACACAATTTCCCCTGCTCAGATGACAGTGTATGAATGTCTCATGACAACTTTTAAAGTCAAATTGCAACACATTCCTGCAATACATAATACGGCTATTTGTGGTACTGTCATGGATTTGGCAAAATGCTAGCATATGAAGGCGAAACAAAATCAATGTAGAAGCAAGGAAAATTTCGTGAATAGACCATTTTCTAAATAGGAGGCATTATCCTCCCCTCTGTGAAAACAGCAAGGTTTTTATGCTATCCAACAAATCCTCAGAATAATTTTTAGCTCAGCCTTAATTGTGAGACATCTTTCAAACATTACAAATAAGGCAGTAAAAGTAAATTTTGTTGGGCAAGAAATTCATCCTCCTTTCCTGTGAACAGAAGTGAGATTTATCTCTTTGAACCTGGCCATATGAAGCGAAAGGAAAGAGTGTTATCTATCCACTTGGTTTTCTGCGGTGTGTTGCACTAATTGAAAAAAAAAACCTCCCAAGATGCTTGCAGATTCAGATCATTCTTTTTTGTGGGGATTAAATTGTCTTAAGAAACATCTTTGCTTGTATTTAGCCACAACTTGAGTTTTTCTATCTCCTTTTCAGGGCTTACGAACAAGCTGGTATGATGTTAAAGGTGTGTGCCTGTCTATTCAGATTCTATATTTGAAGGTACTGGTTAAATTCAAGATTAGGTTTTTATTCTATGTATAATTTATTTGAGTTAATGGTATCTTTCTTCTAGAACTGGGACTCAAAGCAATTCATAAGTGTAGCAACAGATGAAAAATAGACAAAAGAGTATGGCCTTGAAGGATTTAAGTTCCTCTAAGGCGGTGTGTTCCTCCAGGTATTTTGGACTTCAACTCCCAGAAATCCCAGCCAGTTTACCAGCTGTTAGGAATTGTTTGAGAAATTGCTCTAAGGAACAACAGACTTTAAAATAAATAAATAAATCTCGTTTTTGTGGGATCTATCCAGGCTGGCTACTTCTTGTTCAGTGGGACTTGCCAAGTAGACGGTCACAGAATACGCCCATTTCAAGGAAGGACACATTTGTATTTTGCTTAGTGTGGTGTAGAGGTTGCTGGTTGGACTAGCACACTGAAATCAAATCCTTACTTGACCATGGAAACCTGCTGGGTGACCTTGGGCAAATCACACTCTCTTTCAACGTCAGAGGAAGGCAGTGGAAAACTCCCTTTGACCAAAATTTGCCAAGAAAAATCCCATGATAGGTTCACCCACATTTATCATTAATTCAAAAATTACTTAGGCATACCATACCATGAAATATATCAATAAAGCCAAAAATACTGTAGTAATATATTCACAATCAGATTCACAATCAGTACTGTTAATAGCTTCACTCTGAACATATATTCTTAGGAAGGAATCCTCATTTGATACAGTTTGCAACTAATCTGTACTTAAATGATCAATAAATGTTGAAGGACATAAATGTATGCTAGATAATTACTTTGGTAGCTTAAAAGGAGGGAAATGACATTAATTAATCTAAATAAGTAGGATAGTACCATATTAGATGCATCATAAATAGATGAATATCTTTTAATGACTATAGCACTTAACAGGGGCAGCACAAATCAGCCACAGAAAAGCTTTCTTATTACCCCCATTCTTGTTCAGCAAACAGGGCCTCTTCTTTTCTCCTTCAGGAAATGCAACAACACCATGATGCAGTGGAACTGATTCAGAAAGCCAGCATGATGTACCTGGAAAATGGAACACCTGATACCGCAGCTATTGCTCTAGATCGTGCTGGGAAGTAAGTTCGCTAATGTCTTTTGGTGTCGTTGCTTTTTGAAAAGATCTGTAATAGAAGCTGAATTCCTCTCGTTTTATTTATTTGTCAAATAAGATATTTGGGTATCGCCTCACAGCTTTCAAGTGATGTCTTTTTTAAAGTAGTTATCTTTTTAAAACTATCAAGCTGATTCAGAAGTAGACTACTTGAGCCCCTTAATCTGACTCCACATTTCAGAAGACCTATATCAATATTGGGGGAAAGGCAGGATAAATAAGTTTAGCCACATGGCTACAGTATTTTGCTCTTTTTCTAACAGGCCAGCATGTAAGAACAAAGAGGGACAGAAAAGGATGGCTCTTCATTCTGGATATGACCTCCGTAGATTGTCTGTAAGAGAATGTTGCTCTTATTAGAGCACCATTGTAAATAAAAGTATTTGGTATTTTTTTATTTCAGGGTAATAGAAAATATAAATCCAGACAAGGCTATTCAGTTGTATCAGCAGACAGCAGCAGTATTTGAGGTAAGTCTTTTGAAACCATAAACTATGCTCTTGAGATATGCAAAATCACTGGGGTTAGTCAAAAACAATACTTAAAATAGGAACAGTGTACAGTGCAGAAGAGTGAACATATAGATGTGTTTTAGCAAGTATGTGTTTAAGCAAGTATAGTCCTGCTCATAGCCTCCTGTCAATCTTGAGTGGATTGACTGATAGGACTGAAGTCAACTTTAAATTATTCCTACTACTTCCATTAGTAAGTGCTGTTTGATTTCCACAATGCGAGCACGTTTAGGTAAAACCTAAACAGTTGTTTGAAATTTGGCAATTATACATCCCATCTTTCCTTACAGTTATATTTTTCTGAACATGTCATATCTAGCTCTGAACCTGTTTGCAGTTCTTCCATTTAGTACTCAGGCCCCTCTGTGTTTCATTTTCTACGCACTGTCTTGTTCATATGTAAACCCATACTTGAACGAACCAGTCTAGACCAGGTTTGAACTTCTGGGCCCCCCCCCCCCCCCCGCCCTTTCTTCTGCCTAGCCAGAATCCCCTCCATTTTCAACTTTCTTATTTTTCTCCAGATAAACTGTGATTAGCAATACAAAGGATTCAAAATATGTGGGAATTATGCAGCATGCATGGTTTATATGGCCCGCAAGTTCCCATCTGTGGACTTTCTCCCAGTTTTCCAGACAAAATGCCTTCATTTCAGATCCCTTTGCCCTACCTCCCACTGTGGTTTGCTGCTCAGTTTCTCCCACTAGCACTTTCCTCCCTTTCCTTTTCCCCCAGCCACTCTTTGCCAAAGTCTTACCCCCTGTTGCTTTCTTCATTCATCAAAAGATAAAGGAAGGGAAGGAGGAAAAAAACAGTGTTGCTGTTGTTTACATCTGGCTCTCTGTATTGTTATTTCTGCCTGTGGGACTTTGAGCCTCTTTGTGGTTGACTGAGGGAAATGTGTATGCTGTTTGATTGACAACAGGCAGACAGTTCTGGATAAGTAGCAATGTGAGAGAAGGAAAAGGGAAGAGTTGGCAAACTCAGTTTGCTTGTGAGAGGAAACTGGTTTTCTGAGGCATGCAAATATGGGCAGGGGCTTGGGTTATTCACTTGACAGACCTGTGCTGTACCTTGGAGGACTTTATATTAAAAGGCATCCAAAAATTGAGAATGGCAAGGAAACACTGCTCATATCTCACTGATAAAAAAAATGTGTATCACAGTTAAATAATTCATGCTTTATACGCTTATGTTTACCTTCTTTTCTAGAATGAAGAACGTTTACGACAGGCAGTTGAAATGTATGGCAAGGCTTCAAGACTTTTAGTCAAAGGTCGTAGGTATGCATCTTACAAAATCTTTGAAAACAAAATCTTTTTGAGGACATTACTGGCTGTTGTGTCTTTTGAGTAGTAGGCACACAACTGTTATTGACTTCTTGAATATTATTGTGATGATATTTATTCAAAAAAACCCTGTGACATGACAGAAATTGCTATTCCTTGCAATGTAAACTGGGACTTGCAATTCCTCCCCCTCTTTACTGCACATTTTGACTCTTCCAGCTCCCAATTCTCAGCGTGGTTTGGTGTCTATAAAGCTATATTAGAAACAGTCATCCAAGTGTAGCTTTGCTGCAGCTATAAAGCTAGTCTTCCTTTCGTTTCAGAATGACCCTTTGGAAACATCTGGTTCTTGGCTAGGTGCTTTCAGTATAGGCGTACTGTAGTTACGCACAAGGAACTTGTTTCTCTGTATAAAACTGTCTGGAATGAAACTTTTAGTTGGAGTAGTTGGCCTTCTAATTTCTGCTGCTTCCATTAAATGTTACATTTCTTTCTCACTCTTGTCTTCCAGGCTAGATGAGGCAGCAGTATCTCTGCAGAAAGAAAAGAGTATTTATAAAGATATTGAAAACTATCCAACATGTTACAAGGTATAAACCTGCTGGCCTTTCCCAATTTCTAGAAAGAAAAAAAAACCCTCATTTTCTTTAAAAGTAGTAATTTACCTTATTCTGCTTGATCAATGTTTGATTATTTCTTGATCAATCACCTGCAGTTTTAGTACTTGGATTCTTTACAAAGGGTTAACATTCTGTTTTGTTCTTCTGAAATACTGCTTTACTACAAGAGAATCATCTTTTTTCTGTTTGTTTTAGAAAACTATTGCTCAGGTCTTAGTTCATCTTCACAGAAACGATTACGTTGCTGCAGAAAAATGTGTCAGGGAGAGCTGTAGGTAAGTCACTAACGTACCTGACTGGTTCTTAATGTAAAAATATGTTATCTTAGCAATATTTCATCTTGAGTGTAATTGCTAGGTTAAGTGCTAAATGTCGAATTCTCTCATGTATCACAATTTTGAGAGCTTTGCCTGGTTGTTTGTAAAGCTGATATTTCAGATAGTATGCTGCAGATGTGTTGCATTGCACTTTCCGTTATCTAATGCACCTGGAAGCTACCAGGTTAGGGAAGGCTGCTGCTAAAGGATTCAGAGTTATGTCTTGTCATATTCCCAACTTATGCACATCTGTTATTGTCAAATTGCATTACTGCCTAAGAAATTGCAATGAAGGCATCTTAATATATTTATTTGTTATTTCATTTTGTTTTTAAGGAATGCTAGGCTGTCTGCTGGTTAGAATATCTGCCCAATAAAACTTACAGAGCAATAGTACATGAAATTTAATTAAGACATTTACAAAACAAAGAAGGTGATACTAAGAACAAATAAAGTCAGTATTAGAACTATTGGAACATCTGTGTAAATAATGTGGCTATCTTTAGGGAAAATATCCCAGAATGAGTGTGCTGTAATTGAAATGACTGGTCCTGTTCATCATTTGTCTAATTTCAATGAGTTAAACCTGGAAGAGAAGACTCTTAAGCAATCACTACAAGATCTAGCCAACATCATGTAAAGATGAGATGTCCTTCAGAACCCCAAGTCTGTGCCTTCCAAATTTTACCCTATTTTTATGTATGTATGTATGTATGTATTTATATCCCATCCTTCTCACCTCAGAGCATCCTTACAATAGGCAACAATGTGATGCCTTATCAAACAAATTATAGAGATAAGCATAAACATTAAAAGCATAAAATTAAAAAGCAATATAAACATTTAAACCAATTATTAAAACCACACAATCTGAAATCATAATCAAGGCTGTTCCAGGCATATTGCACACATTTCATCTTCGCTTATTGCATTGCATTTCTACTCAAAGGAATCGTCCCAGAGTCATGTCTTCAATTTCTTTCTGAAGGTCAGGAGGGAGGGAGTTCCATAGCCTAGGGGCCACCACTGAGAAGGCCTTGTCTCTCGTCCCCACTGCGAAGGTGGTGGGACTGAGAGCAGGGCCTCCCCAAATGATCTTAAATCTCTGAGATGGTTCATACCCTGTCTGGCTATATGGTTTCTTAACTTGGAGGAGCTACTTTAAATGAAATTTCAATTGCTTCAGCCTTCCAGGCTTCAGAGAAAGCGAGGACTGTGCAGCATTGGAACAGTTACTAGAAGGGTATGATCAACAAGACCAGGACCAAGTATCAGATGTATGCAATTCACCACTCTTTAAGTACATGGACAATGAAGTAAGTAGTTGTGCTGCAGAGGGGTGTGGACAATTGGGATTGCAGATTGACTTGTTGAAATCATTTCAATTCTATTGTGTGAACCGAGCTTGCAGTTGGAGATTGAAGGCCAAAAGAGCAATGAGGTTCTTACTGTGTTCAATTCTTGAGCTAAGATCTTCCTGCGATTGGTATTGTTAGCTTAAATATCCACTTTACTGCTGCAGAATGTTAAGATGTGGGGAGAATTGTGTGTGGCATATGACTAGCAGTCATATTACATTGCTGTGATTATCTAAGGTTGTGTGTAGATTCTTAAATTTTGATCTAATAAGATGAGATAAAACTGCTGTATGTAGTTGCTTTGTTTCTTCCCTTGAAGGACTTAAGAAGAAGCCAGGGAACTGCAACAATAACTTTCTGAACTGAGAAACCATTATTAATGGCTTCAGAAATAACTACAATTTGGAGTCCTATTCCTTATCTTTACTTGTAATGAAGCCATTCATCATTGTTCCATTATTGATACTCCCAGAATGAGCAGAACTTTATCCATAGTTCTTATGACTGAATCTCTAGATTCAATCCACTGGTTTTGGTGGCAGTTGTATATTTATTGGAAAAAAGTTGTCTTGCTCACTACAGATTTTAGAACAATTACAACGATTCTCCCTATTCTTCTGTATTGGTTTCACATAGATCCGGTTATGTACACAAATCAGGTTTTTTGGACAGTATATAATACTGGCATGGAACAGACTGCTATTATAGCAAATGGTTGTATTGATTTCAGTGTTAACGTTGACTTCATTTTGAGTTATATAGTCAGGATGTGCCCTTCAACATATAGAAATGTAACTCTTCCTGTTTTTTGCCAGTATGCCAAGCTTGGTCTCTCGTTGGGTGTCCCAGGTGGAGGGATAAAGAAGAAATCCCCAGTCACTCCACAGGGCAAAGCAGAGAGGCCAGTCGTGCCGGGTGCCCATGGGAATGAGGAAGATGATGACTATGCAGGCGGACTGTGCTAATCGCAGTTAAGTGCTAATCTCAGATATCAGGCTGGCCATTGAGCAAATTCCAAATGCTCCTGAATTATATTATTTTGTTGCAAAAACCAAACCAAAAAGATTATAACAACTTGTCATTTTGGGGAAAACTTGTATGAAAAAGTGTGGCTGTATCTTTAAAGCATTTCTGGGCTACAGTCTTAAATCTTACATATTTTCAATGCATCTGCTTTAATAAAGAAATTGAGTGCTCCAGTCTTCTCTAATAGAGAAGAAGCATGTTTGGAAGATAGTATTTATTTTCAATATTTATCTCCAAATGTCTTATGGCCCTTTGTTTTATGAGCCAGTGCCATTTGATAGCTCTGCACAAGGTTGGAGTTTTAAGAGAGAAATTTCTGAATCCGGCAGAATTGTGATTTGTTGCGCATTGTAAACAAGATCCCTAAACTGCTGACAGCAACTTAAACCATGATGGATACCCCTTAGCCCTTTTAGACAGACTCTTTGAGGGTGTAGAAGCATATCTGCAAAATGTACAAGAGTTCTGAAGCCAATATTAAAAAAATACAGACTTTGGTGTATTTTTTAAGAAAAATGTTACCATTTCTTCCTGTAATATTGCTATGAATAAAAAGAAGAAACCCGATTCCCTTTTGGATGTAGACAAATTATAGCTATGAGTCTTTCCAGTTTATTCTGTGAAAATGGAAATTCAAAATGGTAGTGTAGAAATAGTGGCAAATTATGAATCTGTTTATTTTAAGAAAGCAGAATTCCAGCAAGAAAGTATAGATTGGCTATTTTGAATCCGAAAGGGCTGGCACCTTGCATTATTTGTATCCACAGTTGATTCTGCACAGATAAATTTTTGCAAGTGTCTAGATTTCTTTGTAAAGTGGTGTGTCTCCTACATCCTTGCACTCGTTGCTGCACTTTGTGCAGTGAATTCAGGCAGTTGTTAACTAGTTCTTCACTTCAGTCTGGTTTAATGATATAGGTAAACAGCTGAAAATACAGGATTACATTGTAATCTATACATGTGAGATGTCTGTAATCTATACATGTGAAATGGCACTGAATATAGCCCCTCTGCTGATCTTGATAATGCATTAGTAATTAAACTCTTGGAGAACATCTTATTTATGTCCTGAGCCATATCATCACATCAGAAGGATCATGAAATGTATTTATTAACATTCCTACTAGTTTTCTTTATGAAAATGGATTGATTTAACTTCAAGAATATGCTTTCATGTTAAATGAATACATTGTCATATTGCTGTTTTTGTCTAGTATGTAATTATTAATAACAGGATTATCTCAGCAAAATGTTGTGTTTTATTTAGAAAGACTGTAGGCCCTTTAAATCCATATTCAAAATAAGTAAGGTACCCGCTGAGTGTAAGGTTTAAACCCAGGCCCAAACAAAAACTTCATTTTGCACAGAAACTCTAGGGATATAAAATATCATTAAAACATTATTGTAGTGATGTTTCTAAGATCAGAATTTGTGGAAATGGATGTAGCTTAAACTTCCTTTTTACCTCCTGACCTTCATTTCAGGTGATTAATAATAATAATAAACATATTATCTTTATTAAATGTTAAGTTATAATGCACACTTTCTGAATAATAGGTGTTTAGTGTATGTTTTCCAACACACATTTTTTGACAAAGATTGAAATGTGGCAAGGAGAAACATTTTGGGAAATAAGGCCAACTCTTCAAGAGACAAAACAGTACTTGGCTTGCATGAGTGTGCTAAAATCCATTATGAAGGTAAATAATGATAATAAATTATTTGTCTGTACACCCAGGTATGTGCAAATTGTGTTTTATGCAATGTGATCCTGTGCTTCAATAGTAATTCTGCCCAGTCTATCTGTGGGTTGTAATAATACTATGAAAAAACATTGTAATTTCCCTGTGGCTGCAGCTTCTCTGAAAAGAGTCCTGTATTTTGCCTCTAAAAAAGAAAAATAAAGCTTTAAAATACAGATTTTTTATGGTTGTTGTGACCAGCTTGATCTGCTTTTCATGTTCAGATTCCAGAATTCAGCATAAGTGTGTTCACTTAATGGGTTTGTTTACAACATCTCTTAACCTGACACTGAAGAATACTTAATTGCTTTATGCTTTTCTAGTGGGAATTGAAGGTAAGTGATATGAATACAGCCAAGATAGGTATTTCTGAGCTGTTTAGCAAATCATAGAGTTAGAAGAGGTCTCACTTTTAATCTGTTTGCCAACCAAAATATGGAGGACCTTATCTGAGTCTTTGCAGAAATCCAGATAAGTGCCATCCACATTATTCCTATCATCTACTGAACTAGTGATCTGATCAGAAGATGATGTAAGATTGCTTTGACAGAATTTGTTTTTGATGAACCCATTCTGGCTCCTACTGGTCACTGCATTGTCATCAAGAAACATGAAAACATTCCTGCATAATCCAATCTAATCTTTTTTCTTGATTGGTGTGTACTTCCCTGAGTTGTCGCCCTACATTTCCCTCATGATTTCTAAAAAATGATTGCAGTGGATTCTGAAAGTACATCACTTTGTGCCTCCAATGCTTGTGATACAGATTTGAACTCATTTAAGTTAGCTAAGCAAATCCTGACTAAATCCCTGTCAATCCTGATTTGTACTCCAAGATTTCCACTGCTCTTTCAAGAGCTCCCATCCTTTCTGGGTGCTTTTTTTCTTTCCTTTCTCCAAAAGTATCAACTAATAAAGCAGTGGTTCTCAACCTGTGGGTCCCCAGGTGTTTTCGCCTGCAACTCCCAGAAATCCCAGTCAGTTTACCAGCTGTTAGGATTTCTGGGAGTTGAAGGCCAAAACATCTGGGGACCCACAGGTTGAGAACCACTGAACTAATGTGATTCTGGTGACCAACTCCTCCATATTTGAACACATGGTGACATTTTTTTTTCTGTACAGAGAGCCACTATAAACACTCTGAAAATTATTATATAAAGAAAAACTGTTGTTACCTTTAGGTGGAGAATGTAACATAGATTTTATAATTGGGGAAGGCTCTAACTGAATGCTCTATAATCCTTCAATCTTTGCAGTCTTGGGAAGATGTAATGTTTTCAAAAGACATTCCATTACTCCCTAGGTTTTGCCTTCTGGTAGGTAGTTGTCACAGCCACAAGATGGTGCCATAGTTTAAAGATGTGTTACAACTTCTGTTTAGCCATGGTTTCTTTTAGTCAACATAGTCCTCATATCTTCACAATCTTTATACATTATGTGAGTTTTTTCCACTTGATCATGCTGTACCATCTCGAAAATAATTTCTGGTAGCAACTCCCCCCCCTCCCCCCCGATCCCTGGCAACATGTTTCCTGTCCCTAGTATCAAAGCAAGACCCAGAAAACAAAAGAATCATGTTTGTTGTGGACAATGCCAAGCAGATTGAGTGAGCAGTACAGTGGTTTTGCAGGATAAACACTGTAATTCTAGCTGTATATATGATGGCATTCATCCTTTGATAATGTTCCTAAATTTGCTTCTGAAGGAGGATTTATTATCCTATTCTTTGAAGATGTATCATCTGAGTTGAATTTTTCTTAGCAGCCTATGGGTCTTTCACACACACAGCCATCAGTGACTGCAAAACAGATCTGGTGCCAAAGAGCACTGGGTGAATTTATTTTAGTTTAATAGTGGAAGAGTGCAGTCTTAGGTGGAGGATGAATCCCACCCTCTTTTTCTCATTCTTCCAACTTAAATTGCAACCACCAAACACTAACGACCCTGCATTCATTCTTCCAGGGCTATGGTCCCAATCCTACTTGTCTTTCCCTATCTTAAATAAGCTTTTAATATGTCCTGCATGTTAACATGTCCTGCACCAGTTCTTTTGAGCTCCAAAGCAAATCAGTAGTTTGACCACTAATGTACATGGGTCCCAGGGCTACCAAACTCAAAGATCTATTAAAATGAAAAGCACAACAAAATGATGCTTGATTATATGTGAGAGTTTAAAGGAGTGCAGAAATAAAACCCAGGGACACTGGGCTCTTCACAGTAATACTGCTCCATTGGCCAAGTTCCTCAGCTGGAGATGTGTGCATTCTTGAGCTGAATACACTGAATACGCACATGCACACACACATATCAACCAGACTTCTCTCCTGATTGTTTTTGTGACCTTAATTGTTTTCCTCTCATTCCGAAAAATATTGATGCTTACATGAGCTACAAGAATTTACTTTACTTTATTAAGCTTTCCAGGCATTGCGGAATAGAACATCTTTACCTCTGTGTGAGTTGACTTTCCACAGCCTAGTTGCAACTGCTGGAAAAACTACCTTATTAATAGTGTTAGAGTCCTATTTAATTGCTGCAGTTAGCAAATGGTCCTTTACAGTATTGAAACATACTACAACCCTGATATAGCAGGCTGTGTGATAGCTCATTAACACCTCACCATCTTGTGATACTAGTTCATGACATGAACCATGAGCTTTTAAACGTGCCCTGAACTTGATGAGAAGAAGTACAGCTTCAACAACCATTGAGCTCCGCAGTTCATGGAGATGCCAAGCATCTAAATATGGTACTGACTCATGTCCAGTCTCACACCCACCACCCGCTTCTGGCCCTCTCAAAAGTAATTGTGTTTCCAAATGGAACAGCTACAAAGAATGAATTATTGCTGCTCTTGTGCTATGTTGAAGTTTTCAGCACATTTTATGAGTGGTCACAAGAGAGCGGTTAGCCTCCATGTACCCTTCAATTGTGAATTCTTCAAGCTTGTGTTCAAGAACTGTACATTAACACAGCATATGTTTAAGGGTTTTCATATTAAAGCCGTGGAAGCGTATGCTGGTGGAAGACGAGAGTGAAGTATTCTGACAAGTTTTTCCACGTAGCCATTGGAACCATCCCCAACGACCAAATGCTTTCCATTAACTATGCACAAGTAAGTAAGCATCATATTCCACCTCTCCTCACATCTGTTACGGCTGTTTTTTAAGTCCTTTCAGCTTGGGACCCTGGTTTCTTAAAGCACTTGGATGATATCAGCCAGTACTGGGCCTCTTTGTGTATGCATATTCCCATATGTCCCACCTCCACATGGGTTTATTTAAAGTTCCTTTTGTCCATTTTGTTGAAATCGCCAACAAAAGAAAACATTTTCTGCTATGGGATTTAAAAAACAAAACAAAAAATTGGCTACTCAATATTTGTATGTTCCAGAGGGAATAAAACAAAGAATTGCACAATTATATAAAACAAAATGATACTTTGAAGCAACAAGACCATTAAATGCTAATTAAGGTGGTCAACTGCAACATTCACACTTGCCTCAAGCAGACAAGAGTTCTTTCTTCCACCCTGGACATTCCATAGATATATAAACCTCACTTGCCTCACAATCTCTGAGGATGCCTGCCATAGATGTGGCCGAAACGTCAGGACAGATTGCTTCTAGAACATGGCCATACAGCCCGGAAAACTCACAGCAACCCAGAATGATACTTCCTTGGCAATTTGGGCTCCTAGTAGTCCAGGTAGAGGGATAACTAGATATACTCCCACCATTTGGACTTGATGGACATCTATGCCTTTGATCAAGAATATATCAAATATAACACTCTTCTGTTTCAGGACATACTTTTAGATATGGCCTCTTGATATCCATTGATTCCTGCTCTTTTGTGGTTGATTGTATTACAATTATGAGATTTTTATTATTTTAGGATACTTTCAAGGCAATTCATTAGAGAAAGAAGGACTATAAATATAGAATATTTTCAAAAATCAAAGAATTGTGTTTCTCTGAAGGTGAAGGGGGGCAAGTGTTAAAAAGTTTTGGCTTATATAGGCAGTAGAGATAAGGTTGCGAGAAGCTTTACACAGTACAACTGAAGACAATGAACGCAAGGATATACAGGTAGATTTCTGGGTAATTTGCAGCAGATCAGCAAGGGTTTTTGTCGCCCAATTGGATTAACAATAGCTACAACTAAACAGACAGTGGTAGAAACCGGTCGTGTACTACTGCAGTGTTCCATGATCTAGACATGTTTTGGAAATCTTCTGTGTTGGAAGATTAGCTCTTAAAACAGAAGCCTGAAAATAGAACAACTGTGGCTATTGAAAATTCTACAATAGAATCCAAATAAGTAGGTCTGCTTTAATGTTTTCATGACTTATAATGTTTGAAGTTTTGGCTCATGAATTTATAGGCAGCAATGCAACTTTTAAAATTTTGTACTTAGACACATCAGATAGCTGTGGATACAAGACAAATTAAACCTTCATACAGGGCTCAAGCTCTTTGGCTGTGTCTTATGCTGGTTTTCATGAGATTTGAATGTGTGCTGCTCAAATGTTTATTAAGGCTATATCTTCTTCCATTTTTGTATTTGGGGATACAACACTCCTTTAATTCATAAAACAGACATGGTAAATTTTAACTGAACTTTAACACAACTTCGGTAAACTTTATTATTTAAGATCTCACATATTTACCGTGACAGAGCAATTTCACCTTGTATGTATATAGAGCCATTAAGCAAATATCTGAAGATCCACATAGTTAAAGCAATGGTATTCCCCATAGCAACCTATGGATGTGAGAGCTGGATCATAAGGAAGGCTGAGCGAAGGAAGATAGACGCTTTTGAACTGTGGTGCTGGAGGAAAATTCTGAGAATGCCTTGGACTGCAAGAAGATCCAACCAGTCCATCCTCCAGGAAATAAAGCCTGACTGCTCAGTGGAGGGAAGGATATTAGAGGCAAAGATTAAGTACTTTGGCCACATAATGAGAAGACGGGAAAGCTTGGAGAAGATAATTCTGGGGAAAATGGAAGGAAAAAGGAAGAGGGGCCGACCAAGGGCAAGATGGATGGATGTCATCCTTGAAGTGACTGGCTTGACCTTGAAAGAGCTGGCCACAGCCGACAAGGAGCTTTGGTGTGGGCTGGTCCATGAGGTCATGAAGAGTCGGAAGCAACTGAACGAATAAACAACAACT